GCAGTTAAGAAGCTGAGAAGAAAGGGAACACTGAGAAGATGAGAAGGTTGGAGGAACTCACATCGCCTTACTGGCCTGGGGAACAACATTCATGTTCAGAGACCACTGAATAGGAAAGGTCCTGCTGAAGACCCCAGGCCTTGGCGCTGGAGGTCAGAGCAGAAATTGATTGAAAAAAAACACAAAGGGACTTTTCTGGGGGATGGAAATATTTTAGAACTGAATCATGGTAATAGATGCACAATTACATAAATTGATTTAAACTCATTGAATTGTACACTCGAAACGGGTAAATATTATGTTATGTAAGTGACTCTCCAATAAAGCCATTGAAATACTCCAGACATTTAGTTTAGAAACTAAATAACTACATACTAGGAACAAAAATGAACAGCCATCAACAAGACTGAAGCTCAGCTTCAATCCAGCAGAATTATCAACTAGATCAGATGACCTGCTGCTGCCACAATTTCCCAGCATAAACAAAAAAGAATCCTTTATACGGAGATAAATCATTTAGAGCCTCAAATTATGTCTATGATTTTGCATAAACAATATTCAGTATTCAAACATAAATTATCTAATGTTTGAGGAAACGAGGTCACATGGTCAAAACCCAAGAAGAGAAAACAGAGAAAAGAAATAGACCCAAAAGGGATTCAGATATTAGAGTTATCAGACACTGACATTAAAATAAGTTATTAATATATTAAACAAAGTAGATAACAAAATGGAGGATTTTACCAAACAATTGTAAACTCTAGCAAATATTAAATGAAATTCTGCAACAAACATATACAACATATCTACAATTCAGATTTCAGTATAGGTTTAAAAGCAGAATAGATACAGCTGAATAGAATAAGTAAACTGGAAGATAAGTCAGATGGAAATATCTAGAGCAAATCATGTAGAGAAACAAAAAGGAGGGAAAATACAGAAGAAAACATACTAATTGGACCACCAGTACAGAAAAGTAGCTGGCCACCAATCTACAACCTTCTAGGGAGGTTGAGACAAAAAACAAAACAAAACAAAACTTTATCTATTAGTTCTCATTGCTCATTGATTGAGGATTGTCCCAAGGAGTGTTAACTCCCTGACACTACCGGGTTGTATATGTATAAGTTTCAAAGAGGCCACTCATGTGTCTCATGCCACAGCAACAAAATACTTTGGGAAGGAAACAAGACACATGGTCCATATTTAAGATGAGGTATAATCAGTATGGAGTGGGTCGATGTCTGCATGGAATAGCCGCATGAAATAGCTGTGGCTGGAATCAGGAGATATGATTTGGACCAAGAGGATATGAGATAATACACAACTGCATTTGATATGATCTTCTCCGTGCATTGTTTCCTTAAGTCCAAATAATCAGGTCTTCAAGGTGGTAGCTACAATCCGTACAAATACAGGAGGATTAGGGCTACAGATCCACTATAATGACTGTACCCAAGGACGTAACTGATATTTATCATCTTCTCTCCATCATCAATTCTAGATCTCCTCCAACTTTGCTCAGCACTTCAGTGGTCTAAGTTGTTTATTTGATGGGGTGACCCAGACCTTCATCTTTGGGGCGTTTTGAGCCCATAGGTGTCTTTACTTTGTTGGACCATGATTGTTGCAATTGCAAAATTGTCACTATCACCAGGAATTAAAGCACCAAGAAATGCTTGAGTTAGTCCCGTGAATTCCAGATAAACCTTTTCCAGCTGCCATGGTGAAGCAGCAGCTCTATCAACTTATGAAAACCAAGATCAATACCTCCATTCTTACCTGCTGGTCTCCTAGCAAAAGGAGCCCAAAATGACCAGGCACAGCCATATCTCATGTTCATTGGAATTTTTATTATGTGCCATGTTGGAATTTTCCATTCCTTCTTCCTCTCTCTCCTTAGGAATCAGAACTTCTTACCTAGCAGACCCTAAAAATGCAGGGGGAGGAAGTATAAGTTTGCAACTGGGAGTGATGATCAGAGGGATGTCACTCCTACTTCTACTCCTTGGCTTCTGGATTCATGGATTGAGTAGACAGCCCCATATTTCAGCCATTGGTTCAATGCATACCACATCCTAGAGAATATCACCCCCGCCCCACAGGTCTTATCTAGGAGCTGGCACCTTAGCCAAGTTTTTAGTAGGTCATTTCTTCATTCTATAAGGTCAGTTGCTTCTGAGACATGCAGTACATCAAAAAAAAAAGGATCTCATGATCACGAGCCCATTATATCATTTCCTTAGCTATAAAATGAGATCGTTTGGTCTGTAGCAAAGTTGTGAGGGGACTCATGTCAGTAAGTCAGTCATTCTATAACCCTGCAGATCGTGGTGTTGGCAGGAAAGTAATTGAATAAATGAATATCTCATCTGTTTATAACTGATATGATCTGCTGACATCTTTTTTTACTACCATTCGTTGCTTGAGCTCATCCTGACTTTTTAGGAGAAAACCCATTCTTTTCCTTTTGAAGTCTTTACTCAAGTTCTCTGCTCCAACTCTCGGAGAACAGTGAGGTCTTACTCAAAACCTGGGAAGTTAATCAGGCTGTCCCAAGTCAAGTTGAGGTTGCCAAATTCAATCTTGCTCTGCTTCTAGATGCCACTTGATTTTTACTGCGGAATTCTGATCCTGGACTTCCCAGCTTTAATCTAGTGATTCTCTTGCTAAATCTAAACCTCTGTTCGCCTTGAAGTGGTGTCTCAATATCGGACTCTAGGGTTACTATTCTCTTAGCCCATTCTCATGAGGTTTAACATCATTCCCTCAAATGCATCACCCTAGGCTAAGAGGGTCATCAGGTACTTCTGGCCTTGACCACACGCCAGGTAGAACTCATTGATATTTAGGCCCTTTTGCTGAGCTCCATGTCCTTTTGAAGATTCACTGTTGGAGATCCTCTATACCCTTATGTAAATATCAAAATTCCTCCTCAGTAATCATTTCTCCAACCTATGACTTAAAATTATTTTCTCTAAGCTACTAAAACAAAAATAAATCCAATAAGGGCTGGCCTGGTGGCACAGTGGTTAAGTTCACACATTCTGCTTTGGTGGCCTGGGGTTCACCAGTTCAGATCCGGGGTGAGGACATGGCATCGCTTGGCAAGCCATGCTGTGGTAGGGGTCCCACATATAAAGTGGAGGAAGATGGGCACAGATGTTAGCTCAGGGCCAATCTTCCTCAGCAAAAAGAGGAGGATTGGCAGTAGATGTTAGCTCAGGACTAATTTTCCTCAAAACAAAAAAAATAAATAAAAGTAAATAAATCCAATCAACAAAAGGGGATACAGACATGGGTCATTTGATGGCCACTTCCTGGGCAACAACCGTCCCATCCTTGGAGCCCACAGTCACATCCTGTGTTACCTGTAAAGGGTCTGCAAATCCCATGGCTCTTGGCCATTCCTGGCAAAGATATCCTACCTTGGTAATTTAATTTTAGATATTTGTGTATTTGGAGACAGCTGAAAACAACAAGCCCAATCAGACTTCCTTCTCTTGGGCAAGAAAGTGGCATCTGGAAAAGAGACAGAAACATGAAGGTTTGTGCACAGGCCGGAACTGTCTTTGTGAGGCTGTGCTAGGCTGCTGGCACAGAGATAAACAGCTGAGACCCCCACCTCTGTGAGCTGGATCTTCAGAGTGGAGAATGATCCATCGGACCTTTCAGCTGAGAATCAATCCTTGAGTATTTCAGACTTCTCTGACAGGTTTTCATTGTAGAAGGAAATCAGAAACTCCACTTTCTGCCCCAAGATTTGTCTCTACCAATAAAGGTTTAAGTGACCAGAAACGGGGTCACACCTCAGGATCACTTCCTGTCCCATCTCTGTGATCTGGTGGCTTGGGGTCTGGCTGACTTCAGGTTCTGTGTGTCCTGTGGAAGGAGAAACAAGCCAGAGGTTGAATGAGGGAATGGATTTGAACTAACCACCTTTAAGTAAGTCAGAGATGACAATTTCCTATGAGCCCCAAGGATTCACCAGCTTCCAGGAGACTAAAAGTCACCCAACACAGGAGCCAGGTATCCATGACAGGATCAGGGCAGAAATGAGGCCTCTCCCAGGTCACGCCTCTGGTCATTAGAAACCTGGAGAGGAATTCTGGGTTCCCGTGGTCCCACAGTAGAGATCTGGTGGAGGCATTAGCATTTCTGCAGCACCCAGTGTCCCTGGAGCTCCCTGTACAGGAGAGAGGAAGGAACCTTTCTGTCAATGCACACCCTCCCAGGAAACAAGGGTCTGCTCAACTCTCGGGGCCTCCTGGTGTGTGAAGGACTAAGGACCATTACACGAAGGGGGAAGATATGGGGTTCAGCAAAGATGTTCCTGAGTACAAAGTCTTGCTCTGAAATGTCAAGAGGCTGTCACTTCTTACTGCCTGTTGTGAGCAACAATCCAAGGACATCAGACTCCGATGATAATGCAGGATGTGAAGACCTGAGGAATTGGATTAAAGAGACAGAAGGAAAAAGAATCAGGTCTGAAAGTGTGAGAGCTCAAGTGGAAGAGAAGGCAGTGAAGAGTTTGGACAGTGAACAAGCAGCAGAGAGTGAATCAGAGAACAGTGATCCAAACTGGATGTGGGGACTATTGTCCTTGGTGGGGAGAGAAGACAGAGCACTTGGTGAGGGAATGAGGTGTTTTGAAAAACATCAGAGCATATTTGGAGCTTGGATCAGGGCTGAGGTCCATGGTCTAACTTGTATGGAAGGGTAAGTCAGAGAGAGGTACCTACTAGAAGGAGGATTGGTAGGACTGCTGTGGCCAGAGGGTAAAGTGTCTCATGAAAGATTTCCCGGGGAACAAGCCCATAGGAAGATGCTTGGAAGAACTTAAATTTGAACGTATCTGTCCTACATTTGACCGCAGGCACACTCTTGTTCAAGACAAAGCCAGGCCACAGGCTGTTGGCATCTGTTCATGGAAATTAGCTCTGCCATATCCAGTGAATTGGTAGGCAGTATTATGGTCTGAGTTTTCTGTCTATGGCCCTCTAGGAAATGTTGAACTGAGCTTTGGTTTCCCCCACAGCTTCCTGGCTGGACCCTGGGAGTTTGTGAACATGGAAAAGTTGACTCTGCAGGGCTGTGTCTTTGCTGCTGGCACAGAAGTACATGGCAGAATCTTCCGGCTTCAGGGCATCTGTGTAAGGGTATAAAAGGGAGGTGTCTGGGCATTCAGGTAAAAAGAAACTTAGAAAGTCTTGTTCTCAGCGAGTTCCTTATAGCTGTAGACAAATATGAGTTCTAGTGGCTTCTGAGCACCCTGTTTATACCAATACACAGAATTATGTCCCAGATATTATTCACATTTCAAAGACTCCTTATTTCTCAATCCTATGACCACGTCTCTGGGTAATTCCAGTGTCATGGGGACTGTTGGGGGAAAGGGACAAAATTAAGACAAAGCCAAGAAAGAAGACTGTTGCTTCAGCCACAGGAAAATGGCTTGAAGTCCAAGGGAAGCCCATTTGAACTCAATATTCATCTGCTCCCAAGTGACAGAGGGTCACACAGCAGAGAAGTCTGTAGTCCATGGTGCAGTCAGGGCTGTGGGCATGTCTAACTAGGATGCCCTTGGCAGGGGGCCTGAGCTCTGGTCTCCTTGGCCTTGATTTGTGGCTTTGCCTATGACCTTGCTGTGCTGACAGTTTCCCAAGCCCCAGGGGCTTTTTCTTCCTCCCCTTTTCATGCCTTATATAGATTCTAATAGAAGGTGGATTTGAATGGACTGGGCTGGGATATTCCTCTGACAGTTGCTCTTTTGTTATTAGCTGCCCCCCCCCCCCATTATAAAGATTCTTCTGCTATCCCCCTCCTTCCAAGACTCCTTCTAGGCAACAGACCATTTGCCCTTCAAGGGATCTCCTTCCTCTTCTGCTCAGTCACACCGGGAGAACATCACTCAAGTTGTTTCCCTCAGTGTCTAATCTTGATCCAGCCCCTCTGTCCAACTATTAGAGGAAGAAAGATTGGGTCATCATGTTCCCATTCTGGACCAGTGCCAATCATTAAAAATTCATGACTGTGATGCCAGTCTCCTTGCCAGACACTGGGAAGGGTGTTGAGGGGACCATACATAGGTTAAACCATTCTCTGTCCCTGTAGTTGAGGGTATTGGGCTTGGCTGGGCTGACAGCAAACAGGTTGCTGGAAGAGAACATGTTGAGAAAACAGAATTCATCTGAGTGAATTTTGAAGATTTTGTTGGCTTTATTCAACAACTCGTAAATGGGGCAGCATCCAATCTAGCGCATAGAAAGGAACTCAGAGGAGTTATACAAAATAACAGACTTTTATAGACAGAAAAGGGAAGGAATAAGGAAGTTAGACTAGCAAAAAGTGTAATCTTCCCTATCTATTGCCTCATGTGTCTAATTAATTACCAAGTCCTTTGATTTTACTTCTTAAACATCTTTTAAATCTCTCATTTCCTTGTATTTCCATCACCACCATCCTCATCCTAGCTATGCTATAGCCTGCCTGGGTGACTGCACTAGCTAACTCTTTTCTCTGTTTCAGCTCTTTCCACACTGCCCATTATTTTTTCTCACTGTATCCAGGGTAACTAAAAAAATATGCATGTGTGCTCACACACATGCACATGCACACAGACATCCAACAATAGCAAACACTAAACTGATTACTACAAAAGTCAAATATTTTAACCTCAATGGCAGGGCAAGTCAGATATGAGACCTCCTTGTACTTTCCACTGAATTTTGCTGTGAACTTAAAACTGCTCTGAAAAATAAAGTCTATTAAAAAACCTCAATGACTCCTATTAAATTTTATGTTAAATCCCATGTCACATACTGTGATTTATAGGGTCAGGATGGGTCTGATGTCTGATGTCTGCCTAGCTCTCTCCAGTCTCACCTTGTGCTCGGCCCCTTCCTCACTCTTTGCTCCTGCCTCATCACTATGTCCTTCTATTCATTAAACACATCTATTTCCTTCCTGCCTGAAAAATTTTGCACAGGATCTTCCAACTTTCTTAACTGACTGTCAGTTCATTAATCCCAATCCCACTTAATAACCTCCAGCTCGTCTTTAGGATGTCATCTTAAACAGAACTTCCTCTAAGAAATCTGCGCTGTGACTGCATTAGGTCTCCCTGTGTCATAAGCAGTGGCGGCTGGGTTCAGTTTCACACAACGCCCTGGTCGTGCCTCACTGATACAAGGGCAGAGACACAGGATCCCAACAAATATTCTCTCCCATGAGCTTGACAGAGACATAGAGACACAAGGTAGGGGTTGCTGAGACTCTTAATGCCTGTCTTTTGGAAACGTTTCTGAGTTCCTCTTGCTTAGGAATACAGGACTGGAATTTCTGTTCTTCTAAACTGCAGTTGGTGGTCTCTTCCTTTACCCCACTGAGCTCATCCAGCACCTGTACACAGTTCCTTTTCATATGGTAGTTAGTGTTTTAAGGAGGTGTTTTCTCCTGTATCAAGTTTACTTTCCTTTTGTTTACTTTTAGCCTTATTGAGGTATAAATTAATGTACATAAAGCTGCACACATTTAACGTATAGAATTTGATGAGTTTGAAGATATGGTGCAACCATCACCACAATCAAAGTAGCAGGCATATCAATCACCTCAAAAGTTTCCCTATGTTCTTTGCTTTATTTAGTTTAGTGGTAAGACCACTTAACACAAGATCTACTCTCAACAAATTTTTCCATGCAGAACATAATGTTGTTAACCAAAGACACTATATCTTGTCTTTTTTTGCCCTACATTTGGTTATAAGGTAAAAATCATGTTTTTAATAAAATGACACACAGATCTTGATCTAAAGCATTAGGGAATAATATTTAACATGGGTTTGTTTTGTGCCTTTTCTTAAAAGGAGCATAATTGTTAAATATGTGATAGCAGGGGCTTCATTCAGATTCTCAAGGGATGATTTGATGGAGAGTCACTTGCAGTAAATTAGCCATAGTCTATTTTTGTTAGGGAAAAAACCAAAAGAATCTTAACTGATTTTTTTAAATGATATCAGAGAGTAGATTACAGACAGAAGACACTCATAGAATATTTGAAATTGACTATTGGTCAGTCAAAAGTAGTCAGACTGCTTTCCATGTTCCAGAATGGAAACACAGCAGCAGTGGGTTGAAGTCGTAACGTAACTAATCAAACTAATCAGATGTGGTATGGACTGTAGCAACTGCATTGAGACTCCTGTAAACCAGTTCTGGAAATTGTTTCTGTGGGATGCTGAATTACGATGCCAGTTGACTCACAAACTTGCAAATCTCTTATGTGTAAGGCAGGGTATTGAGTAAGAAATGGACCCTCAGAATAGGAGTAACCAAGGATACGAAAGACCTAAAGGACCCTGACTCCCTCAAAGCCTCTGAAATTCTCCCCTTGGCATCTCCATTACTGGAGAACACTGTGCCTCTGTTGAGTGTGTGTGTGTGTGTGTGTGTGCGCGCGCGTGTGTTGTGTGTGTATGTTTTGGAGAGGGGGAGAAAAGAGTCTCTCTCTTACTCCATCCATCGCTGGCTCTCAAAGGTTAACTTGGTTTCAAATACAACATAGCCCAGAGAGTAGGACATAGACTTAGAACACAAAAAAGAAACCATTAAACTTAAAAAAATTGCTCACTTATATTATGAAAAATTTGGAGGAAATATCGAGAAATTTATCTGATGGCCCTGGTTCAAGGAGGACAGGACTGAAATTTAGATTGGGTTATATTCAGTGCTTGTGTCATATTCCCCTAAAGTAAGATGTGGGCAGCAAGCTGTGTCTCTCACAGTCAGCTGGATTGGAAAAGACAAGTGTGGACACAGCATCCATCCGAGCTAACTGACACTGCAATACTGTTAAGCTTAATGCAGAAGAGGGAAATCAGTGACTGCTGGAGATAGGGATCTGACCACTTTCTTACTATGTTTCACGCCAGAGCTTAAAATCCTGTTCTCTTTTCCGTGACATTGCTGAAGGAAGAAGTGGGATATTTAAAAAGTATTTTACTAGCCTTCTTCTCCAGATTGATAATGCAGACATGGTAGGGAGCTACAATTAAAAGGGGTCCTTGGTTTCAGGGGCAGTGAACACAGTCTGAGGTGACCAACCCCAGGTGGGCTATTTAGTCACCGGTAACAACATGGACATGATCATCATGTGGATATAACATGGCAGCATGTCCATTGCTGAATTGGCTGCCATCTTAGTCCATTCAGTTCTACTTTGGTCTGGGGTCAAGGTCTTGTTTCCATGCCTTCATTTTCACACTGGGTGTCTAAGCCCTCACTCTCCGATTCTCACTATACAATGTTCTTCATTCTCCTCTTTCACAAAGTCCAAACCCTTCAGTCATTTATTCTATTTTTTCTCCTTTTGATCTGACATGCATAGGATTTGATTCATCTTAACCTTTGGTTCATAACTCACAGGCATTGTTTATTGATGCATGGTTATTTATTTATTTAAAAATATAGTAGGTACTTGTTAAACATCTCTCCTCTCCCAACAATAATTAAGACTGACCTTGACAATATTTAAATTTAGCTGTGTGGATCTCTCGCATCCCATCTCCTACCACTCCCCGTACAAGTCCCATATTAAACACTATCTTGAACTTGAGTCATCACCATTTCTTCTCAGTATGTGTTGGCAAATGTTTGACAACCAGCTCTCTGGAGGAAAATAAAACAAGACCTGATTTGCTGTGTCTGCTGTTAACTGTGGTGTAAATATCCCCACTAATGCTGATTTCAAGCTACCAATATGATGTAACTGAAAGTGGAGTTCAAAAAGATGTATAGCACTGGCTCTCAAGGGCTGGTAAAAGCCAGTTCCAGCAACAACTGTATCTTGATTTCTCTTAATATAATTTTATCTAATGTATTTGTAGTCATGAAAATTATTTTCTTGATTTTTTTTTGCTTTAAAAAAGTTTAACATGCTTTACGTAATCTTATCAGGGTTAGTTTTTGCATTTGATACTATATAGCTAAGATTTACCTACCACATTGCTCATCACAGTTCATTCATTTTGAATGACGTGTACATCATTTTCCATCCTATGATTACACCATTGTTTATTTATTCACTCTCTTGTCAATGCACGTGTGGTTGGTTCCATGTCTTGATATTGTGAATAGTGCTGCTAGGAAGACTTTTGTATTTGTGTCTTCTGATGTCCATTTGTAAGTGCTTCTCCTGATGTAAACCTAGGAGTGGAATTGCTGGGTCATGGAATACAGGAATGATCCACTACAACTACAAGAAATGAAGTCAAACTGTCTCCACATCATTTGTTATCACTTATGCTCCCACGAGTATCCTGAGGATCCACACCCTCCCCAACAGTTTATATTTCCAACCTTTTATATTGCTAATCAAAGCAATATAAACTTACATATCATTGTGTCTGCTTCACACTTTTGTGATTACCAATAAAGTGAAATATCTCCTCATATGTTTATTGGTCATAGATGTTTCTTCCATTAAATATATGTTAATATTTTTTTTATTTTTATTGGTCATACAAGATTTGTGTTCAATGTAATTTTTTCATTTTTCCTATGAAAGGATTTTTCTGAAGGGCTTACACTCACTGCTCTACTTATTATCTTCAGGCCTCTTACAGAATTTCTGGTTCTGTAGACAAGCCATGTTGTCTGAAGTCTTTCTTATATGATCCCTCTGCCTTCTCTTTAACACCTTTCTCGAGATCCAGCTCAACCAACCTTCTCTATGAAGGTTTGGGATGCTCTGTACTTGGGTATAGGGGGTGCACACCCTTCTTTGCACCTGGTCTTACACTATTCATTCATCAGTCAAAACACTATATAGCACGTCATCCCATTCTTTCATGAGGGCATATTGCTGCTTGACTGGCTTAGGATTCTCTTTATCTTGAGGGTCTAAGATGGCGACAAAACGGTGCTGAATAGTCTTGGACAGACAGATGCCAAAGTTTATTTTAGAAAATATCAGGGTTTTATAGAAGCATTTTGATATCTACCTATAGGATTATGTTTACATTTATCTAAGAACATATGATTAACATACAGAGTCAGGAAAAAATCCAGGTTAATAATTTTCAGCACAGGGAACTTCCCAGTTGACTACTTTATAGGCCCAGCTCCATTCCCATTTTGCTGGTTCTCAAACACTACACTTTCTCCACACTCCACACTCAGATATTCTCTCTCCCTAGACACACACAAACACACACACACATTCACAGATGTCTCAATCAGAGGAGATGTTGTTTTTCTCTCTCCACATCTCCTTCCACATGGCTCTATGGGTTTAGAGGGGTGGGGAAGAGGCGTCTGTTGCAAGGGCTCTTGTTTGGGCTCCGATCTCTGCCCAGCGCTATGTCACTAGCACCACAGAAGTATAGGCTACTGTCTGCAGGATGTATACTTGTCACTGTCAGGGTTTAAAATGTTAGGTTGGGATGGCTGATGGGAAATTTGGCCTCAGTAAAACCTTTTTTGTATGTGATGCCAGAGCCCTGATTAGAAATTGCCACTGGTATGAGTTCCTGTTTTGGCAACTGTCAATACCACAGAGGTATCAAAAACTAGACAGTTCCACTCTTACAGTTAACCCTGCTTGGATGTTGAAAGATGAGAGCACTAAGCCCAGAGACTGATGAAACAGAGATCAAAGAGATGAAAGAGGCAGCAGGAGCAGTCAGACATGAACACAGGCAGAGTACTCACAGGCTTGCTCTCTCATCTTTCTCCCAGAGAATCCTGTGTTTTGTTTTGTTTTTTTTCTTTTGAAATCTTCCTGTCAGACTCCCTAGGATCATAATCCCCCATCTCCCCTGACTGGTGCCTTCTCACTTCACCCTTTACATCCCCAGAAGGCATGCATGTCCCCTCTCATTTTGGTCAGCATAAAAAATCCACAATTAGTGGCTGCCACTTCACTCATGAAAACACACTCGCACACTTGCCCAAGCTACTGATATAATAAGGCTTATACCGATCCCCAGAAGCAGCAGAAGCATCAGCATCTTCAGGGGTTGTCCTCACACCACACCTCTCTCAACAGAGGTATGACCATGCTCTCCTTTCTTCCTTTCTCTGCCCCCAGAAGGAGGGATGACTGCTTACATAGTCCTGAGGATGCTGTAATCTGCCCCCTGGTGGTGATCTTTACCAACGATGTAAGGTCTATGGGTCTTTCTGACTATCAAAGAACCACACATCCATTGCTGAAAGGGGCCTCAAAAATGTTGTAATTTGGGTTTGGCCTAGTGGTGTAGTGGTTAAGTCCATGTGCTCCTCTTCGGTGGCCTGGGGTTCACTGGTTCAGATCCTGGGCGTAGACCTACATATCATCCCTCAAGCCACACTGTGGTGATGTCACACATACAAGATAGAAGAAGATTCATGCAGATATTAGCTCAAAAAATGTTCAACTTCAGCTCTTCATTTTATAGAAGATACACTGAGACCTAGATCATTGAAATAACTGAAACAATTTTCTTAGCCTTATAGAAGGCAAGGGGTATATGTTTGTTTAGTAAATGGCATTATAGTTATTTCTTTACTTCTGTGCCATATCCTCAAAGTAACCAAGTACAATCCAAGTCCTGACAGTCGGTTTTTCTTTTTCATCATGCAAGTAACCGACTAAAGTATTTTGATTGCTGAGGCGTCCACTTCAAAGAGGCATCCAGTTCAAAGACGGTTATCTCAAATAAACACAGCAATATCACAGGACTGGAGAAAGAACCAGGACACCTCCCTGTTGCCCCTCTCCCCAGACTCCTTTGTTTTAGAGACCTTTGTTGATTTTCATAACTGATATTTGAGCCACTTGTTTTTTCCCTTCCTGTGCATTACATTCCTGTTCTTAAATTTTAAATACACCAAAACAGAGTGAGGCCAGGAAACCCTAGGCTCCCACCCTCGATCTCAATAAAAGCAAAACCCAAAGCCTGTGCTCCCTCTCTATCTGCACCCTCACTTTGTAGCCCCAGAGGTGCCGTGTAATTTCTAGGACTGTAATAAACTCTTTTTTTCAAAGTTTTCTGATGGTTATTGCTGAGGGTATCTTGAATCATAAGAACCACAAGGGCCAGTCCAGCCACAACACTGGTTATTGACAGGCTGAGACCAGCACACAGCACCAAGACAACTCATGGTTGTGAATCACTAGATTGGTGAGAACGAGAAATCCTAGGCTAGAAGTTCAATGTTTCTTCATATTGATGATCAGGATACTTCCTCATCTTAAATGAACTATTTATTTCACAACTACCTCGTGCCAGTTCCTTTCACATTGATGGACTTAATACTAAACACGGCTTTTTATTACAGTCTCTATGTCTATGTGTGAAGCACTGTGGAGGCTGTGAGGATAATTTATTTATAGTTATTTCACCATGATACAGGTCACACAATAAGGTTTGGCAAAGGGAAATAGGTTCTAGGAGATTTAGGAATTTCGTTCTGCTTTGAACATGCTGGAATATTTGTTTTAAATGGCTCATTCCTGAAAATGTATAGCAATTTCAAGAGGCACATTTTTCTCCAAAGCATTATGCTTTCATTTTTACAATGATCTCCCAGTTGTGCTTTCACTTAATATTTAATTATTTTTATTTGGAGTAGGTAACTAAGAAACAGAGGATCAGGAATTGATCATCAAATTATGTTGGTAATATAGTGACATAGATTTTTATCATAGCAAGTATAATTATTGCATACTAAATATTACTGCATACATAAGACTGATACATGGATTAAAGGGCATCTAATGTGGTCCTCCAGCTGTATTTGTTTCATGGTTGATGTACACCACATTAGACTGGGGCTGCTTTTCGCTATAACTGTACTTTTCCTGCAAAGAGTAGGTGAATGTACCTTGGAATGCATTACTTCTGGTATAACTTCATGACATACATGAGATGAACTAGCTGGAAACCCCCAGAAAATCTTTTTACTCCTTTTGAGAACCACGAGCCATCAGGTATATAGCTGAGGTTTATATTACTGTATCAACTTAAATGAGGAGGAAATACATTTCCCAGAACCTTCTTCCCTGGTACAGTTATTGATTAGAGTTGATCTCAAGAAAAGTATTTGCAACTGAATCAGCTGTCAGTATGCTCTGTCAGTATCAGCTGTCCGTCCAAGGCAGTGAGGAACAAGTACCAATTTATCACATTATGGTAGCTACTCTTCAAAGATGGCACCAAGATGAACCACAACTCCTAGTATTCACATTCTTGTCAGTCTCCCCCTCTTGGCTTTGTTCTTGCCTGAATGTGGTGGAAACAACACTGTGATTTTTGCAAGCTGAAGTCATAAGCACCCATGATCCCACCTGAGTCTCCTGAATACTCATTTTTTGGGGAAAAAGCCACTATGTGATAATTTTAACCACTCAGAGGCCACCACATCATGAGGAAACCCACCTAACCACATAGAGGGGCTGTGTGGAGAAAGAGAGACATGCCATGCTGGTCCACAGCTGTTCCACCCGCCCTAGGTGAGGGATCAGGTATGTGCACAAAGAAGCCATCTTGGATGCCTAGCCCAGGTGAACCTTCAGAGGTCTCCAGGCTCAGTGATTGTTTGACTGTGACATTGAGTGGTAACTGCCCAGAAAAGCCCACTCAACCCACAGACCCATGAGAGAGAATACATTTTTATTTTAACTCAATACATTTTGGGGTTGTTGTTATTGTTGTTGTCCTTTTTCTAAGCTTTTTAAGTGACACATAATTACATATAATAGACTGCACAAATCTTAAGTGTACAGCTTAGTGAATTTTACAAACGAATATGCTTATATAACTACCACTCAGATCAAGATATAGGATGTTTTCAGAACCCCAGAAGCTTCCCTCATGCTTCCCTCCAAGTAAGTTAAAAATGCCCCCAGAACCAGTCCTGATGGCCTAGTGGTTAATGTGTGGAGCTCTCACTGCTCCAGAAACCCATGTTCTTTTCCTGGTCAGGGAATGACATCACTCGTCTGTCACTTGCCGTGCTGTGGTGGTGGCTCACATAGAACTGGAAGTACTTACAACTACATTATACAATCATGCACTTGGGCTTTGGGGAGGAGAAAAAATGCCCTCAAATGTAGCCACTATTGTAACTTCTAATATTGTGTACTCTTTGTTCAATATTATGAGATTCATCCATTCATGATTTTGCCAATAATGTTTGATTTTGCCATATTTTATTGCATTACATAAATGTAGTATGATTTATTTATCCATTGCATTGTTGATGGACATTTGGGTAATTTCCAGTTTGAGGTCATCATGAACAAAACTGCTGTGATAGTATTTTTTCTCACATATTGTTTTCTATTTCTTCAGGATTCTAGAATATTTCTTGAGTTTGTATGCAGTTAACAAATTGCTTTTCTGACTAGTCTAATTTACTACAGATTGCTTCCAGTGCATTTTTAAATTCAGAAATTATGTTTATTTTGCCCAAGAAATATTATCATTCTTTGATTATATTTTTCTCTAAATTGTTTTTCCTAGTTAATAGATGCAATGGCTTCTCAAAACTTGCTAAGGAAACATTTAGTGATATTTTAACTTTTTTGACATTCATTTCATACAATAACTCTAACAGCTTCGTCATGGGAATGGTATTATTACGAAGCTTCACAGCTAAAGAGTTCTTTTCAGTGTCAGGATCACTCTGAGAAAATAAATGGTTCAATGGTTTTAAAGTGGACATTTTAAAATCATGAAGAGTCCGTATGTTTTGTTTTATAAATTCCTCAACTGACGGGAGGAAATTTGTATCCCTTCTAGTTATGACCAAGATAACAAAGAAGAGCAAGACTGTCTTTCCCTTACTGTCTTGCCTTTAATTTCCCTTCTCTCATTGGGCAGATAGTGTTACCGCAGCACATTGCCTCTGGAATATGGCTTGGACGCAGGGAGCAGAGAATTCCAGAGGCTGTCTCCTCGATTGTCACAAAGTCCATGACTGTATCATCTGGCTCAGGAAATGTCTGACGTCGAAGTATCCGTGAACATGGTCTGGACAGTCCAAGTAAGGCTTCTTGGATCCATCCCATTCTCAATGGTTTTCTCCTTATTATCAGAGACCATTAGTTGCAGTGACACCTTGGAGTGCTCGTCATACCACATGTCAGTGTTTTAAATCCTATTCAGAGGTCACTGTCTCTTTCCCATCTCTGTATCTCAGTTTATTGGTCTCTGTATGAGTCAGGCTTTCACAGAATATATGGGAGAAGAAAGACAAAGCTAAACGCAGAATCAGGAGGGAATCCAAACAAAATGCATGAAGCCAAGGATTGTGGGTGATGGACAGGGATCCCCCACATTTTTCCAAAACTTTCTTATCCCCAAAGACACAAAGCCACACAGGACAAAAGGCTGGAGTTCTTAAAAGCTTCCAAGAATATTTAAAAATGTATTTCATCCATCATTTTTTGTTGGATGCAGTGTGAGGGTTACTCTGAGTAATATAGACTGTCATTCGTCTCTAGAAACAGAATTATGTGATCAAATAAAAACTTGTCGAAAAATGCAGTCCCAAGAATTAACACCACTTGCCTTCTAATTCCATAGTTAGGTGGCAGACCACAAAGGAAGAAAAGATACAGAAAACAAAAAGACCATTTGCAAAATAATAGTGACCAGCTGTCTGCTCATTACTCATGCAAATATTTCTCCCAAGCCTGACTCTCCCTTCTAAATGCCAAGGGCATTCACAGGAGCCTACTGGGTATTTCTATGCAGATATCCATGGAAAGTCCACTGGAACTGGAAATTCAATTTTGTTCAACAATTTTGCTCCACTCATTCTTCCAAATTTCCTTTTATTACCATATCAGATGGGGAGTGATCATCTTTATTCCTGATTTTTCTCCTCACTCTCTCCTAACACGTCTCCCTAAACCTGTATCACTCAGGTGGTGCTTGTGCATCTGGTGAAATCCTACCCATCTTTCAAATTTCACCTTGTATTTTGCCTTCTCTTTGAAGCCCTTCCTGATGTTACCAGACACAATTGGACGTGTTATTTCTTGTACTCCACTAACACTTCTGATAATGGACACACGTATGAGACTTGATGGCAATATTTGTTCTACATATTCCTCTTCCCACGAGGCTTTTATCATCTTTCTGAAGAAAGGGACCACTTCCTGTTCATTTTTGTTTTTCAGTGTCTGGTACAATAGGAAAAAGATCCAGGTTGAAAAATTAACCTCTCTCTTCTCTCTTCTACTCTCTCCATCCTTCCCTCCTCCTCCGCCTACTCTTCATCCTCCTCCTTCTTCTTCCTCTCTCTCTCTCACTTTCTCTCCATGAGATATAGATATAGAAATAGATATACACATTGTAGGGGAGGAGGACATTTCCTCTCCCCAAATGGGGGTTCGTCTAGCTGGAGAACGAATTAAATTCACATGAGACAGAATAGCAAGGAAGGAAGAAAGGGCACCGAAGAAGTGGGGTGCACAGAGTGGTTATATAGCCCCCAAACGGGGTGTTTCACATGTGATTGAAATGTCCCTCCCACAATAGTCACAAGATTGCCCTGTTGGCACAGTGCTTGATGGACACAGCAGGTAATGGTCTGCTATCTCGGTGGGTGTAGCAGGAGGCAAGTGGATTGTCTGGAGCTGGGCGGTCACAGGTGAGCTCGGCAATCAGTTCCTAGCCTAAGGAAAGATGCTTAATCCTTAAGGAATGCCAAAGTTAGGAGGGGGAGGGAAGTCAGTTACAGGAGGTTACCAGACTAGCACAATAAAATGCAGATTTTAAGTCATTGCCTTTGGTATTGATTAAGAGTTTTTAGAGAGAAGGTCATCTCTTTTCTTCTTCCTGGTACAGAGAGGGAGGCACCTTTTACAGATAGAGATTTACCTTACAAATGTAAATGTGTCCTAACAAAGGGCAAGTTCCATTCCTCAGAGCCTCCTTGCCTGTCCCAGTTTATCAAAAGCAATCAGCCTCAAATAATCCTGATGCCAAAGAGACATATCTTGGGGTGGCCAATTTCAGGTCCCCACAACATATATGTAACTTTTAAAACAAACTTTTGGATCGCTGAAGTCCCTGCCATTCCACAAATCGTGTTTGATGGAAGCGGCTGCTTTTGGGGCCTGACTGAGGTGGAGGAAAGCCAGCAGATCAGGGGACTGAGTCCAGAACAGCCCTGCCACCTGGTGGGGAAGCAGGGCCTGGGACACATTTATGCACAGAGAAGAGGTGGCTGTGCTTCACTGTGTCTCTACTACTGGCACAGAGATACAGGGCTGTCTGGTTCTTTTGAGCTGATGTTACAGTGAAAGGAAAGAATGGCTTCTTCTCCCGGGAGGCCCTGTAGCCTTCAGGTATGTCTCCATTCTGAACATCATCTATAATCTGTGAGTAGTAGAACAGTCTCAGCCCTTGTCCTGGGTCCTGTCGGTACCAGTACATGACATCGTAATTAAAATTCTGTTCACATTCCAGGGTCACATTTCTTCCTCTCTGATCAGGTATTTTGGTCTCTGAGTGATTCCACCATCCATGGTGCCTATGGAAGAGAGAGAAAAGCTCTAGAAACACAGCTCAAGAGAATGCCTAATGCTGCTGTCACAGGGAAAGTCTTAGATCTGGAGCTTGGCACCTTCAGGACAGGAATTTGTTCCCTGAACCCAGGACTCACCTGCTCCTAGGAGACAAAGGGTCACCCAACTGAGCAACCGATTGCCCATAGTGGGTACGGAGTCTGCTTGTAACTCCAAGCACTTACTGGAAGGCAAATGAAGAAAGAAACTTAGCTCTGGGGATCCCACTATCTTAATATGTAGAATTTGTCAGAAGGCTAGACTGGATAGTTGGAAGGGATCCTGGAGATTCTCAAGACAAGGTCCCTAATTCTGTGGAAGAGGAGACTGAGAGGGAGACCTGAATCACTTGCTCCTTCTTGTGCCTCCCTCCTGAAACTCTGCATTCAGTCTGGCCTGAGTGGGCTGGCACCCCCACATCTCCAGGCCAGAGTCTCCTCTGATTGGCCCCGCTGGATTTTACCTTCCTAGTTATGCTAATGTCTGATGACTATGGGAGCACTGCAGACACTCCTGACACAGAAGGCAGCATTCACTTGTAATCCCATCCACTCCCGGAGGAAAGAGTGACCCTTGGATCTGTGCAGAGGTGTCTGTAGCAGCGATGGACAGGTACTACTCAGACCTGCTGCCAGGAGCCCAGTTGCTCCAGATCCTCCTGTGCATTCAGGCCCTGGCCTTGCTTTCATTCCAGCACCTTCTCTCTGTCATTTTCATTCTCTTAGATGTTTCTTGACTTTCTTCAATGCCCTTTCTAAATTTCCAGTTGAATTTGTAGGGGAGGAGGACATTTCCTCTCCCCAAATGGGGGTTCGTCTAGCTGGAGGATGAATTAAATTCACATGAGACAGAATAGCAAGAGAAAATTAAACAAAGCTTTATGAGGAACCATGGCCGGGGGCCTTTCTTCCCGAAGGAAGAAAGGGCACCGAAGAAGTGGGGTGCACATAGTGGTTATATACCCCCAAACGGGGTGTTTCACATGTGATTGAAATGTCCCTTTTACAATAGCCACGAGGCTGCTCTGTCAGCACAGCGCTTGATGGAAACGACAGATAGGTCTGCTGTCCCAGTGAATGCTGCAGGGTGGCAGGTGTGTTGCCTCGGGCTGGGTGGGGGTCACAGATGAGCGCAATCAGTTCCCAGCCTAAAGAAAGATGCTTAATCTTTAAGGAGATGCCAACGTTGGGAGGGGGAGGGAAGTCAGTTACAGGAGGTTACCAGACTAGCACAATAAAATGCAGATTTTAAGTCGTTGCCTTTGGTACTGATTAAGAGTTTTTAGAGAGAAGGTCATCTCCTTTCTTCTTCCTGGTACAGAGAGGGAGGCAGCTTTTACAGATAGAGATTTACCTTATGAATGTAAACGTGTCCTAACAAAGGGCAAGTTCCATTCCTCCTTCCCTGTCCCAGTTTATCAAAAGCAATCAGCCTCAAATAATCCTGATGCCAAAGAGACATATCTTGGGGTGGCCAATTCCAGGTCCCCACAAATTTATTCTTCCTTGGGTATTTTTTAATTTACTCTTCATTTCTTAGCTAATTTTGTCTTTTTCTTTCATTTCTTTCCTGAGTTCAATCAACTGTTTTTTTCATTTCTCCCCCGTTTTTTTGCCATTTCGGTTCTTAATTTTTGAACTTCTGGTTATAGATGGGTCACCCTGTCTTCAGCTGCTTCCTTGAGTTTATTTAATTCTGGAGTGTAGACTTACATTTTCTTCTGTCTCATGGTTGTTTTTGAGGGAGATGGTGAGAAGTGTGGCATTTTCCTCTACTCTATGGATTTTGCTTTCTTCTTCATTTTCATGATGTTGAGGTGTTTTACGATACACCCAGCTTCAGGGTAACCTTCCCAGTTGTTCTGGAGAAGGACAAACACCTTAGGAAGTTTTCTTTCTTTTTTTCTTTCATGATGGGGTGGTTGTAAATCCTTTTATTTTGTGATTGTCTTCTTTTGCGGGACTCTTAAGTTTTCTTCGTTTTCTTCTTCTTTCCTTCACTGCCCAATTGTTAGAGGACCCTTCTTCTTTCCTTTTTGCCTTTCTTTCTCCCTCAGGAGCTATATGTTCAGAAGGGGATCCCTTTCAATCACCTGCCTGGAGCTTTTAAGTGGAGTGAGTGCAGCTTGAAACCTCCTTCCTCTGGTCTTGCTCAGGTCTGACTCAGGGGATGTCCTTTTTCATGTGGACTCTCAGCTCCCCTCAGGCCCCAGTCACTGCCCCTCCTCTGTCCCCTTCACAGTTTTTCTGCTCCACCTCCTCCTGAGGGTGGAGAAGGGAGGGAGGCAGCAAGTGAAATAATTTCAGAAAATCAAAAGGCAGAAACCCCCGTGGAGTGAAGTGGTGTATACTCCATCCTGTGAGGGGGATTTCACTGGTACAGATGTGGGTAAGGGACTTTGCATTTACATGCCTTTTGATTTTCCGAAATTGTTTGCTTTATCAAACAAATGATAATAAACACTTTTCTGTAGGTGTCTGACATTTGTTGTGTGATGAGAATCAAAAAAAATATTCACTGAGATCATGAAATTTCAAGTGATGTGTTTCTAATGAACAGTATTTTGTGGTCAGACCTATCTCCTAAATTCCAGACAAATTTGTCCAGCTGTATTTCCACCATCTCTGGGACATCCTACAGCAGCAATTTTTAATCCTGGCATCTATACATACCCGCATAGGCACTAGGCAAGGGACAAAATCTGGATTATTCCAGAAATAATAAGAGGCAGCACAGAGTGGTATAATAAGCACAACTCTTTGGGGGCCAGCCTGGTGGTGTAGTGGTTAAGTTTGTGCGCTCCACTTCCCCGGCACAGGGTTCGCAGGTTTGGATCCCAGGCGCGGACTTATGCACTGCTTATCAAGCCATGCTGTGTCACCCATCCCACATATAAAATAGAGAAAGATGGGCACAGATGTTAGCTCAGGGCTAATATTCCTCATTAAACAAACAAACAAAAAAGCAAAAACTTTTGAGCGAGACAAACCTAGGTTTGTCTCCTATATCTCTCCCTGTCTTTTTGTTTTCTGTTTTTGAGTTTAAGAAAGGAAAATGAACTCTTGGAACCATGTTTCCTCATGTTGAAAATGAAGACAATATTTCCTTTGCTTGATTGTCCTTCTAATTAAATAAAATTCTATATTTAGAGCATTCAATTGCGAACTTGAAATAGAGTATGAATTTTAAAATTCTTATCCTTTTTCAGGTGACAGAGTCTTAGTTCCTGAGCCTGGGCTGGCATGTTCCATGATATTCCTACCGTCCTCCCCTACTTCCATCCTCACCTCACTAAATGCCTTATAGCTAATTTGTTCCCTAATCAAACAACAGTTCCCCTCCCCCAGTCCACATTGTTTCCAGGGTGGGGCCTGGAGGCTGTTTGTACACTGAGAGGATGTGACTCTGCATCGATGTGGATCAGGAGCTGGCACAGAAATTCACTGGTGAGTCTCCCAGCTCTGCCAACTGGATCTTTAAGACTCCAGGTCCCTCTTTGGGAAATTCAGCAGAAAGATGTTTTGTTGGCATTCTTGAATCCTGTATGACTTGCTCTTTCTAGAAGTAAGTCATGAACTTCAGACCCTCCTTCAGGATGTGCCAATACCAGTAAACATGACTGTGTCCTGTTACTGGACTGCATTTCATTGTTGCTTCCTGGCCTTTCTCCTGACCGAGTGTCTTGGGTTCTGGATGATGCCTGCATTTGTGTGACCTCAGAAAAGAAAAGATTGCATGAGACAGAGTGATAATGGTAGAGGAAGTGAGTGCCCTACAGAGAAGCAACCCCAGGAGAGCTCAAATATCTTTGAAATCTCCCGAGTGTATTTAAAATTCACATGAATTTTGCTTTTTTTACAATTATTTGTAATAATATTTATTTTCATGTAAAAGTTGATAACTTTCACAAAATCTCTGGGCAACATGGAGGTCCAGGTCATATTTGAGACGCAGCTATAGAGCCACAGACAAAACGCAGTGATGCTGATCCACTAGCTTGGAGCTCACTTGCGCCCAGGAGCCAGACGAGCACCCAGCAGAGGAGTCTAATGCCCATGGTAGAGTTGGGCATAAAGGGGAGCCCACAGGCAGGGGCCAGGAAGGGTACTCACTGCAGCAGCTCAGGAGGCTAGACCTCACAGCTGCCTCTCATGAGGTGGGTCTTCCTGTGAGGTCACTATTCCAGTGGATCCTGCTGTCTCTAGAACTGATCTTGTACCTCAATTGAACAGAACTTCTTTTTCTTGACTGTACCTACAATCTGGCTTAATATGTGTTAGTGGAGGGGATAGTGTTGTGTGGGGGAAGATGAGAGATGAGTACTTTCATTATTGGTCTTTATTACCTGAAACAAATTTTTACCACTCCAATCTCCACTTTTTCTTATCTTTTGCTCCTTTATTTTCCTTTCATTGGTGTATATCATCTTTTCATTTTCCTGCTGTTCCTGAGTAAAGGTAGTGACCAGATGTGATATCCAGGGACACATATTGAGAGACAGGGAAGTAGAGAACAGGACTGGAGACAGGAAATGATTTGACTCAGTTTCCTTTTTTCCTCCTCCACCTCAGCTAAGCACTGGTTTCAAGCATCTTGAGGGAACCTTAGTTTATCTCTTATAATTCACCCTTCTCATCTTTTGCTATTCTACCTGAATTTTTGATATAAGTAATTCAAAGAACATCATCAGAACAACTATAAACTCTTCCTCTCAATGTGTTTCCCCTGATTCTATTTATTTATCTATATTATTCTCTTTAATCATGGAAGTGATGCCTATGTTTGAGGGCTCTTCCTCCCTTCCATTCTTTTGTCCTTCTTTCCTACTCTGTGGCATTGAAAAAAAATCCTGATAAAGCCTGCTTTGCCCCAGACACAGTGAAAGGAAGACACAAGGAAGAATACGGCACCATCTCACCCTATTGGACTTTACAGGCCCCCTGGAGGAGAGGAAACCTGTACATCTAGGACACTCCAGGCTTTGAATAATAAATAAGGTCATGCGAACTTTTAGTATTCAAATAACAATGGCTCAAAGGCTTGTCTTTATATTAATATTAGGATCCTATGGCCTTCCTCAAAGAGCCCTCATTATTTTGGGAATATTCAGTAGGCTTCCCCAAATGCACACTTCAGTCAAAAAGCATTTACCATCACCACTTGGAATCAGCACAGTTATTTCTCCTGAAAATACTCCAAATTGATCACCAATGCTTTTGATGAAGATGCCCATCACTGAGGACCCATGCCTAGCCCAAAGGGACTTTTCCTGGATGCCGTTAGACACACTAACCCTCAGACTGCTAGGACAGTGTTGGATTTTACACAGACTTGGGGAAATAAATT